CCCGGCCAGCCCCCCCCCGCAGGGAAGCGGGGGCAGGGGGGGGGGCGGTGCCCGGGAACCTCCCCGCCCGGCCTGCTGCCTCTGGAAGGCCGGCTTTGGCCCGCGGGCCAGACCCCGAGGAGAGCGGGAGCGGGTGCACGAAAACCAGCCGCGGCCCTCTGGGTGTCCTCAGGCACGGCCTGGGGTGGGCTGGCGTGACACTTCCAAGGTGCCTTCTGGCCCGAGCCATCCAGCGCTGCCGGCTGGCTTCGGCCACGGAGATGCCGGCGCTCCACCCGCCTGGCAGGAGGCACCACGAGGAGCACCTGACCCCGGTCCCCTGCGGGACGCCTCCCTTCTTCGCTCCCGCCGCCTCCTGGCAGGCACCCCTGAGCTCCCCGCCGCCAGGCTCCCCGCGACGCTGCGGAGGGCGGATTCCCTCTCCGAAGGCACCGGGAGCTGCTCTCCCCGAGGGAAGTCACCGCGCTGAAGGGAGAGGCCGAGGGAGAGCCCTTCCTTCCCCGAAAGACGGGCCGCTCCGAGCCGCCTTGGCCCAGGGAGGGGGTTACGGCAAGGACAAAAATCGCGCAGGGACATCTGAAAACAAAATCCCGGGCCAGGGGACGGCTCCTTTTCCTGACTGGGCTTTAATTCGATTTCCTCTCATTTCCCCCCCATACGAAAACAGATTTATTTTTATCCACTTTTTCACTGCAACGGAGAGGCGATATTCGTTGACTGGGATTGACTTGTTTTGCTTTATTACAGAAGGCACCTGGCTAGCTTGAACGAATACTAGATGTACCTATGAACACGTAGCCAGTTTATCAAAAATTAAAACTTAAGCGGGGAGGTGTTCGTTGGGATTTCAAAGGGAAAACGGTTTAGCAAGGAGGCTGGAGGCCACGAGTTCCCGTGGGAATCCTTCAGACCTTACTCCGCGGAGGGCATCGGAATGTCGGGCATTTTTGAGCTGCCGGCTGCCCCCGGCGAGGCCCGCCGACATTTCCGACGCGGAGGCCAGCAGGGCCCCGGGCTTCGAGGGCAGCGCCTGGCAGGGAAGCGCTCCTCGGCCCTCCCTCCGCCGGCAATGATTTCAAGCCGTCTCGTAAACAGCAAGTCAACACCAAGAGCCCCATTTTAAAAATTTATTTACAAAGCTGTGTACAACACGAAGGAGTAACATTTAGAATACATATGTTCATTCATATATAAACAGACTTCTGTAATAGAATGACAGGGGTTTTTCCCCCCTCGGTGTTTTCCCCGATTTATTCCCCTCCCGCTCCATTCTTTCTGTCACATTTCAAAATGCCTTCCCTTCTCGTTCAGGTGTGTTTGGGTTTGTTTCGGAGAAAACGACCGAGAAGAATAAGAACCTTCAGCAAAAGTGAAAGTTCGGGGCTCCTCATCCCTCCAGTCCTTCATGTGAGTGTGGTTCTTTAAAATCATTTCTCCCCTTCCAAATCTGGACTGCTTTTAAAAAAATAAAAACCGCCAAGGAAAGTCCGTCTATTGGTATTATTGTTTTTGGCCGCCTCCCACCACGGGCCTGTACAGAGCTGTCGCCGTGGGTCGCGCACGAGGTTTACCTGCACAGCCAGCCTGCCTCTCTTCCCGCGAGTCTCTGGCAGCCCGGGCGGGCGGGCGGGGAGTCCCTGCGCGACCGGTCCTCTCTCGGCTGGGCGGCGGAGCGCGGCTCCCTACTGCGCCGGCCACTTGGCCTGCACCGGCGCTGCGGAGGCGGCGGGCTGCAGGAACTGTCCCGAGAGCATGTTCGTGGGCACGCTGAGGATGGGCGCGATGGCCGCCGTGGTGCGGGCCAGCGAGAGGGGCTGGTGGGCCAGCAGGCCGG